CGGGCTCGGGAAATATTGGGTGTCCGGGCTTGGGGGATGCTGAGTGCCCAGGCTCGGGGGATGCTGGGTGCCCGGGCTCGGGGGTTTTGGGTACCCGGAGGTGTTGGGTGTCCGCGGCGCTGAGTGGAGCGGGAGTACCGCACGTTTCGGCCGTTCCTCTTTCGGGCCGGAGCTCGGGGGTGCGGGAGACCACGGCAGAGGCGGGGGGGTCGTGCCGCAGCCTCCGGCGGGGACTCACCGCCGAGGGGAGCAGCGCTGGCCTCGGTCGCCCCCGGCGGCCGCCAGTGTCCGTCGGGCCGGGCTGTCCCGGCGTCCCGGGGCCCGAGGCGGACCCCGCTCCCCGGGAGGGGCAGCGCTGCGGCCGCGGGGTCCGCCCGGGGGCGATGCCCGGGGCGATGCAGCCGGGGGTGGGGGCTGGTGGCCCTGTGAAATCCGTTCAGTCTGTGATCAGGGATCAGTGATGGCACAGTGGGGTTGTGGTGGTCAGTTCAGCTTGCGTGAAAATGCAGTTTAATTAATAGTTAATTTGTGGTGTTGATTTTAATAATTTGAGTGTCTTGTATTATTTGCAGTATTTTGCCAGGTGCCTGCAGTAGGGACTTTTCAGTGAACACAATTATTTGTAAATAATTGAGCATTTTTTCTGTACTTGGGTGACAAGACAGTTTTAAACTCTTCTGATGAAGAGAAGCCATTGCACTTACCCTAACAGCACACATTTTTCATGTTCTTCTTTAAAAATAGTATGAAAATGTCTGTGAAAGCCTTAATTTGCCTTCTTCTCTCCAGCAAGATGTAGGTGATGCCTCACTTTTATCACTAAATATAGTTTAAATGTCGGAATTTCTCTGAAATAAAGGTATATAAGTGAGAGGATGAGCAGGTTCTAAAACCAGCTTATGAAAATCCCCAGTCATTCACTGAATTGTCTCTATTTTACCTGTTAACTCATATATTCAATGAGATTCTTTGAATATGGACAAGGAATGAACAATTGCATGGCCATTAACCATGCTGAAATACTCCAGAACAGATGTAATGCCTTTTCTTCTAGGTCGTATTTCCATATCGTATTTCAGTCGCCAGACTCTAACCAAATGCCCATTGTATTTTACTCTACTGGGTGCTAAATTCTGTGAATTATGTGAAGTTATGGCTTCATTATTTTTGTCCCACGTACATACAGGTGGCAGAGCTGCCTCGTTACGTACAAACAGAACATTACCCACAAATTAGAGTTCATGTCCTGGCTGCTGTGCACCACACTGCTGGGAGTAACACCTACCAGTCAGTGAGACTTATTTATCAACATTCCTGAACATTTTGTAATAAAATGGGATATACAGAAAGTACAAAAGGCTAAAAAATAAAATGCAGAGTGCAGTTCTGTGTGTTTGGTTTACATCACGATGGTGGCATACAGATGAGGACTGCCTATCAATCCTGTTAATGCCCATTTCAGTGAGCTGCTGTTACAGTGGATTTCTAAAATAGCAAAGTCTATAATGGACTTTTTATTTTATTCCTAAGAAGAGACAACTGGGGAAGGAATTTTTGTGGATTGCTTGGACACAAGTGACTTCAGGATGGTTTGTCCTGTGCAAGAGCAATCAACTGTGATAGCATCAGCCAGTCCAGAAAGGAAAGTGAGGGACGTGTCTTGGGGGGAATGACCTGTCCAGCTTTCCAAGGGGTGTCTAAGCTACAATGGATCCAGCATACTGCCTCAACTGTGTTTGAAATGCACAGCCAGAAGTCAAATTTAGCAAAAAAATGTTATTTCATTAAAAAAAAAAAAAAAAAAAAAAAAAAAAAAAAAAAATTTTTTAAAAAAAAAAAAAAAAAAAAAAAAAGAGTAAGGAGTAAGTGGCTTATTTAACAGATATTGGGGAGAAACCCTGGAAAAGAGCAAGAACCCTTTACAAACCAGAGCAGCTACATCACAAAACTGAGGAGTTTGAGTCAGACTGATTCTGTCCATGCAGAAAATGCTATGAACAAAATACTTCTGTTCAACAGAAGGTATTGCTGCTACCCTCGTTTCAGATCAAGGTCTAAATCCTGAAATTGTTTGTTACTCTGAGCACACGAAGAGGCCCCACAGGAGCTATTCACATGTGAAAAGAGCTAGGACCAGAGCCAAAGTTTTGCATACTGTGAAGGTCAAGCTTGCTTCCTTTCTAAAACTTGCACTTAGCAGGCAAACTCTCAGAACTATGGTTTCCATAGAGCACCTTCAGCTCATTCCTCAGGATGCTGTAAGCACCGTGGCTGATTAAGAGCAATTTGTGTCCTAGCAGGTCCCTGAGACTTTGGGGCTGGCTGCCTTGCAGGGAGCTGCTGCCCTGCAGAGCAGGGGCTGCCCCTGCCTTCCCCTGATTGCAATTACTGGGCTTCTTCTTCCCACAGATGCCAGGTTTTTTTATTAACTTCTCAAAATGTAAGAGTCTCATAGATATTATACAACTCCTGGCCTTACAGTCATGGAAAAACCTGTTAATAAAAATGCACTGCCTGGAGGACGAATTCTCAGCATTTTTGCAAAGGTCATGTAAAATATATTGCTTGAGTAGCCTTACTTTGGTCGCCAGATAAGTCATTGAGAGGCCACATGATGACAGCTGCAAAGAAAGAGTGTAATTCACTTTTATGTCTGTATGCAAAAAAATAAGAGACACAAGCCTTCCCTTCAGTGCTGGGGGTGCGGGCTGTGTGGAGACTGGTGCAGGGAACAAAAAGGAACTATTTTCACCAGCCTGACAGATAAGGTTGGAGGTCTTTCTCTGCTGAAGGCCTCACAGAGTTCTGCTTTGTTTCTTCTTTGCTGTTAGAACAACAGAAAAACTCAGAGAACAAACTGTAACCACATCATACCACATCTTTTGCTAGGATTTTGCCTCAGTCCCAAATATGACTCTTATTCTCCACATACTTCTGTGAGCAGCAATTTCTTTCTCCCCTTTTTCCACATCCTCATTTAATGGAAATGTAAAATAAATCCCACTCGGGTTTTTGAGCACTAGCTTGGATTTTACTTCTGCTTCTCAAAAATGGAAATTCCAAGTTTTACCTTCTCTGGGAGAAATGTTTATCTCCTTTCCCCCATGCTCCATCAATGCCAGTTGATCCTGTATTTGGATTTGCTAATAACAAATCTGTGGGTCTGGGTCTCTCAGAGTCCAACCCTTTGCAGTGCTCTATCGTTACAGTGGCTGATCTTCTTTTTTCTAAATTATTTGTGTAAATATTATTTTTTGGCCAAGAAACTGGCATAACATCAGGTCAAATCACTTTATGTCATACACAACAATAACTAGAAGTGACACAGATGTATGAAAAAGAAACCCTAGAGCCACAAATTGAGATGAACCATTGTCACATGTCTATATGCACCCTACTGCTTTCATTCCAGGAGTGGAGACCTTATGCACCTATTGCTGATGGGGAGGAAGTTTAGACTGCATTATTTCTAGAAGGGTCCATTTCTAAATACACAGATTTTTGAGGGAGAGCCAGGCACCAGTGGTGGTTATCATCTCACAGAGGTGTTGCCAGAACCATTAAAACACAGAGCTCTGGAAGGCTCGTACTTAACAGTGGGAGGTAGAACAAACTAATTTTATTATCAACTCAGCTGTCAAGTGACAATGTTTTTTAAATGCCATGAATTATGTATAAAATATATTTTTTTTTTGCTCTGCTTTGAGAGTTTATGTACTCACACCCAAAGGGCAGGGCTTTGGCAGGGGCTGTGC